AACTTTAAATCTAATGCATAAAAATGTAACTAAATTTTTTTCTTACATAATTACAAACTTTTTTTATTCAAAAATAAAAAAAAATTGATGCCTAAAACTCATAAACTTACTGATATTGAGCATAATGAAATTATTGACCTGTGGAAAGGTGATTATAATGAAAGCAATATTAAAGATATTATTAATCATTAAAAACAACTATTCATGATATTATTGAAAGATATAAGACAAATCAACAAACTAGTGTCATTTTTGGGTCTGATAAATCATCTAAATTGATAGAAGAAATATTAGACATCTTGTAAAAATTGTAAAAAAAGATCAATAACAATCTTTAAATAAAATAATAGTCAATTATTAACAATCTCAGTAAGTTCTCATATTATTCAACATATTTTATATAATGAAGGATTTTATAGTTAAACTAAAAAAAAAATCTTTAGTATTTGAAAAAAATTGTAAAAAAAAATATTAGAATGGTGTTATACTAGAAAAAATTGAAATTTAGAATGAAATACAGTAATCTGAAGTGATTAATTTCATTGTTTATTGTTTTAAATAATTTATATTATTAGGTTTTGTGATATTTGTATGAAAAATATGATATAAGTTGACTAATTTTAACAGTAAAATCAAGAAATAAAGGCATAATGATATAGAAATGTTTTACAAAAAATAAGATTGAACCTTTGATTCAAGTTTTTAGTAAAATTATAAGATCTATATATATTGAAGTCTTATAAAAAAAAAAATCTTTTATTTTTTGTTAATAAATTAAATAATAATTTAAAATATATTTTCAAGATAATAATGTTCCGGTTCATTGAATAAAAATAGTTAAATAATGGTTAGAAAATAATTTGATAACAAATATTTCTTGTTCTATAAAGTTATCAGATATTAATTCAATTGAGCATTTATGGAATATTTTAAAAAAAAGAAATTGTAAACATGATCCCCATCAAAAAAATCTTGCAGAATTAATGATTATTTTAGAAAAATAATAGAATCAAATTGAATTGGAAAATTTAGAAAATTTAGTAGAAAATATATCAAGAAGAATTCAGACTATAATTAAAGATGGATCCCTAAAGAAGAAAGCAAGGACAAAGGTCAAATATTCCTCACTAGGAAATATTAAAAATTTTAAATTAATAACTATAAAAAAACTACCCACAATTATTCTCTATTATTTAAATCATTGATTTATAATATTTTCTGAGAGCTATGAATTTTGTCCCTCAAAAAGGGACATAAGTAATAAGTGATCTGTAAAATTTATATACTAAATATTTTAGGAATCCATTATTAGCTATAATAGATATTAATAGAAATTCAACAAAATATTAATAGTATTAATAAAAAATTCAGACTTTTGTGAACATATTAATATAAATTTTATTAAAAATTATTTAATAAATTTTTTAGTAATAATAAAACAAAATCAGCTTTGAATTTTAAAAATTGTAATGATCAACATATGGTCAGATACTTTTGGCTGGTGAGTGTACAGTACATCTTCACTGGCTTTGATAAATGTTGTTCTTGAAGTACTACCATTGTAAAGAAGTTGATTCACTATGCCAATAATGGTAACTCTTGCTGTGTAAAGATTTTATTAGCACAGAAGTTAAAAACTTCTTGCAAACATCTTTTTTGTATATAATCAGAGGATCAGTGAAAAGAGTTGATGAATCAATACTTATTTTTTTTTAATAAAAATATTATTCAACCAATTTAACTATAAAATAAATGCTTTTCATTAAAAATAAAAAATTTTAAAAATATTACACAAAACAATAAATTATATAAATTAAATTCCAAAAAATAATTTATTAAATTTTTGATAAATCAAATGTCTTCTATACTGCAATAGTTATGTGTTAACTATAAAATATAATATTTATTGACTCTAGAAACTTTTGTTTTCGAATTACCATTATAAAATTATTATTTCATTTTTTGATAGGCATGCATTTTGTACATGAAAGATACAATATTAAGTTTTAATTACAAACTAGTTTTTAAAAGTGCATTTGAATTTTCTAATCTTCAACAACCTCCTCTGTCTCTTCCACAACTTCCTCGATCCATTCTTCAATAATTTCCACATTTTCGTCATCTCGTTTTGAAATCGGCTCAAGACCAGCTCTTTCTCTTTCCTCGGCCAACTCTTTTTCAACTCGCTTGCGCCATGCATTCCATTCGTCAATAAGGCGACGACGATGAGCAAGCAATTCTTTGGAGACAGAAGTTTGCGCAAGAGCATCTTCTTCGTCGAATTGCTTAGAATATTCTCTAAGGTTTTTCTTAATTTTTTTCTTTTGTTCGTTGGTCAGTAGACTCTTTGGACGAGGTCTCCAGAGTAATTGTTTGAATTTATCCATTAAAAGTTTCTGTAATTGCATGCCCTTAAAGTCCCATATAGTATATCCGTTTTCCATCTAATTGTTTGATTCGATAACAAAATAAATATTAGAAGCAGCAGCGTTAATAGAAGTTACTTCAATATGAAAATTATATGAAGCCTACAGTGTGTCTCCAAAAACTAGAACTGGTGATTACGTAACGACCAGTAGGATCCCATTCAATATCAGTAATGCCATAATGTTCTTGTGTGCTCATGAGTTGCATACACGAGGCGGGATCGGCTTTTGTGAATTCTTTTTGTTCAGTGACACCTTCAAAATCTAAATCCCAAAATTCCAAATCAAATGATGTAGATGATCGAAGAGTTGCCAAAATTACATGACGACCCTGTGGTGACCAGTATATGGCGTTCGAAGATTTTTTCTCAAGTGTCTCTGTAAGTAGATAAATTATTATATTAATATTATCATAAGGTCTAATCAAATAATAGGAAATTGGAAATTACTTACTGATAAGTTTGAAATTAGCAGTTCCAACTGTTTCACCACCTTTTCCAGGTTTTGGTTTCTCAAGATAATAAAATGATACATTAGTTTTAAATCCAGTTTGTGTGGGTTGATTATAATTGGGATCGTTTGTTGTGATAATGGCAAATCGCTCGCCTTTGGGTTCCCACGCGAACGCAATTACTGTATCTAAAAATAATCATAATTGAAAAGTGTTGTCTATAAGTGTTATTTTCCAAGAGTTTGTGGACGATGTAATGCAGACGGAACTGACGGTATTCCATTTTAGAATAAGTATTGTATCAAACACCATAATTACCTTTAACTTCGATAACTTCTACCGGAATATCCTTTTCCCGAACTCTATAAATTTCAAGATTGGCGAAAGTGGACTTTTTCGTTTTGGTATGACGATCCACTTTAACGCATAAAAAGTCACTGTTAGACTGCCAATGCATTTTACACTAGAATTATTTTTTAGGTGAGTTTCAATAAGACATATATTTTCCTAACATTTCTATTGCATTAAGATTTAGTATAATGGAGAGAGATTCTTACATCCGAGACGTTCACCAAGTTTCTTGTTCTAACTATTTCTTTCGAGGGAATGTTAAGTAAAGTCACACGAGCTGGTTGATTACCAATTTCTGGTGTCCAATAACTAATTAATTCTTCTCCTGACTTTTTATCTCCAAATTGTTTGTCTTTTTCGTTGTCAGAGGCGGGGGCCCATTCAAAGGCGGGGGCCCATTCAAAGTCGACAACCCCTTCAATCTTGATACTCTTTTTGCCGACCAATCCCATGCTAGGTGTTTCGTAAACAGAAATTTGTTGTCCCGGAGTCACACGCGCAAAATACTTGTCGGATGGTGACCATTTAAATATAGGCCACTTGATCTTGTTGGGAGTGCCCTCGGGATTTGTTGAAGAAGGAAATGATCTTAAGAGTATACCGGAGTGAACATCCCATATAATAACCTGATTGCCTTCGTCATCCGGTCCGAATGGGGTACCACTAGATCCAAGCATAATCGGTTCGTTGCTCCATGTGACAAGGTATTTTTCATTGGGCGAGAAGTCTATTAGCTTAACCCCAGGATGGAAAAACCGAATAATTTTATTCCAACTTGGACCACCCCATAATGCAATGCCCTGTTTATGAAACGTTGCAAGGTAAGTCCCTAAAGGAGACCACTGGACGTATGTTTCGGTCCAATTCTATGGTTGAGATGAAATTATAAATGGCTTATCACATTTTAAGAACACGACAAGTTGAATATTTCCTACCGTTCTCCTATAAATTTCTTCTGGTGGTTCTGTCTTCCTATTCCAAAATATGATAACATCATCGCCGCGATAAAGAACGAACTGATCGCGCGCTTGAGAATCAGTAAGCCAACTTCTCAGATGTTCCTATGATTCGCATAATTAATATAATATATAATATTTATACATTATAACGGATTGACTATAAATCCACCTTTTCCACGAATTTCTCTTCATCCGGTTCTTTATATTCTTCTTCAATTTGTGAATATTTCTCAATGTCTGTGAACCTATTAACTTTGAGGTAATGAGTTTTGTCCATTGGATAATCGTCATACTGTTTTACTGCCATGTTCGCTTGCTCAGCTGTCTCAAACTCGATAAAAAGATGCCTAGAATATGTAAAAAATAAATAAATAAAAATAAATTAAATTATTAAATGGAATAATAAATTATACCATATACCATGAATTCGCTAATTATTTTACCCTTTTGAAGTCACATTTCCTGTTTCCGGGTTAACTTCCATTGGCATATTAATACCACCTTCTTTAACATCGCCAGCATTTTTGAAAATTCTATTTATTAGTTTTAACAATTTATCTTTTTTACTATCATCGACCACAGGTACATTATCGACAACAATTATATTATCAAAGCCTTCTTCAAAGGGGACCTGATATTTTTCTTCAATGTCAGTAAAATCAATGTCTTCTTCTGTTGGTGCTTTAGTAAAGTCGAAACCTGGCATTTTTTTTTTTTTTTTTTTTTAAAAAAAAAAAAATACACTAACAAAAAAAAATTATTTGATAATCTTTTGTAAATCCTAAAAAACAAGCATTAATTTATAGTTAATGTGATTCAAGTTTTTTCTGGTTTGGTTGATTATATGGCGAATACACCAAGTTTTAGCTATTTTTCCTAATTCTGCCGAGCACTGAGTTATATATATTGTTTTTCCTATATACATTATCTGGAAGTATCTCTTCATCAACTTTTCTTGAATTATGGTATTGTTAGATAGTACATTGGATGAGGTAAAATGAAAAAGAAAATACACCGAACATTTTTTTTAAGAATGTATTGCAAATTCATTATTATTATTTTTTAGGAAGTTAAATTGTACGCAAATAATAAAGAACGGGAAAAGTATGAGAACTTGGCGGATGTCTATGCTATAATTTTGACGATGGAGCATTTAGAAAAGGCTTATGTTAGAGATTCCGTAAGTGCTGCCGAGTTGAGTATTTATCCCTTCTGCAGTTCTACATTGTTTCTTGGTTTTTGTATTTTAATACGGCATTCTTCATTTAGCTATACACCTTCTTGCACGAAACTTATAGCGCAATATAAAACTGCGATGAACTTGGTAAATGATCTAATACCCGATGTGGAAAAATTTATGAAGGATTATAAGGTACATATATTTTTGAAAATAATCATATAGATTCGAAATAACAATTTATTCACGAAATTGTTTCGACTTAGTTAGAATGCCCTGCAGCGGCAAATAGATTCAAAATAGGTGTCCCCGCTACTATTGAACACTCCATCAACCATGATCCTAGTAAATCTGCCAAATATGTTGCCGAAACTGTTTCTGTATGTATATTAATGCATTTCTGAAACTATTTGCTGAATGATATTGAACATTTATTCGATCTAATTTTATCTCCTTCCAGCATTTTATTACACTTATGGATGCGCTTAAACTGAATATGAAGGCTGTGGACGAAATACATCCTATGTTAAGCGACCTAATGCAAAGTTTGAACAAAGTAAATACTTTGCCTGCAGAGTCTGAGGCAAAAATAAGAAATTGGTTGATTACTTTAAATGCAATGAAAGCGAGCGACGAAATTAATGAAGAACAAGTGAGACAACTAATATTTGATTTAGATAATGCACACAACGCATTTTATCGTTCCTTATCGGATAAAAATTAATTATTGAGCAATGCATCCGAAGTATGTCTCTAATTATAGATGGTTATATTTGATTCATTCAATCCCCACGAAGTTTGGTAAGTATTTTGCCCTTTAAGATTATATTTAACTTGCGAAACTATTTTTGTAAGAAAAAACAATAGGCTTCATTTAGAATTAATTTTATTGATTAATAAATTTAGATTGGGTTAATCCGTTAACTAATATTGCTTATAGATCGCCATGTTCATAATTATATTGTAAATTTGTACGCATCAAGTAAAATGTTCTTTTAACAACAATTAATATTGTTTTATTATAAACCACTGTATAATAATAATTACTATCATATGATGACTAACTTATCTTTAGTCAAAGAACTAAACTATTTAAAAAATATGATAGGTTTACTAAGCTAGTTTAAATTAAACAAAGTCTCGACTAGGTATTTTAAATCAGATTTAAGGAACAATATTTTATTCCTCTGATAGATTGTTCTAGAACCTTTATTTATCATGATCATTGCTTACAATTTGTTATTATAAAATTTTTAAATTAATATATTGAAAAAAAAACAATTCAAAACCTTTTCAAAAGATTTTTATTTTAATAAACAATTCTTAACAAAACTATGTAATATCTGAGAAACTTATTATCTTAAGTTCTTAAAATAGAAAATTTTATTTTATATTCTTTATCTATGAGACTTAACCTTATGGTCTAATTGAAATAGTACTATCAATAACATTCAACTTTTTTTAATTAAAATAAAAACTTAAAATCTTAGTTTTTTTAAAAAAAGTTTTTTCATTACCTGAAAAACTTGTTAAAAGATAAAAATATTATATTATATACTTTTTACTTGCTTTTTAAAATTATAATTGTTTTTCTTAAAAATTTATTCAATTAAAAAATATATTTCTATAAATTATTATTATTATTATTATTATTGAAACATATAATTATAATTAATTCTGATCCCTAGCTTTTTTAAAAATTTTCTTTTTTGATAATTTTCTTGGAAAACAAGAGAAACCCACTTCACACATACAAGAAAATACTTTTATATACAAAAAATTTTGCTATCAAGCAAGCTTTGTACTATATACAACTAATCAGCAATAAATATTAAATAAATTTAAAGAAAATCTATCTTTTTTGCACAAAGTTTCTTTCTTTATAAAGAAAAGAAAAATATAAAGATATTGATTCACAATAAACTTTTTGAGATCCAATCTCAACTTCACAAGTTCTCAATTAGACCAGTACAAGGTAACACTTTTCTTGACACTAAAAGAAGTCTGACAAACAATAACTCAAGCTGATAAATTAGTTTAAGCTTAAGGTTTACAACACCTAAGAGGATGTCTAAATCTCTTTTGCTCAATAGGATAGAGTTTCAAAATAACACAATAATTGATTATATCTAAAGCTCATAATATGAAATTTATAATATCTATGATTTCATAATAACAAGTTTATGTGACAAATATAAATTTTAAAACAAATATATTTTGTTTACAATTCTTCACATTATATTTATTTTTAAATTTGATAAACAAAGTTAATCATCTTCAAATAAGATCTATAATAGTAAAACAACAACAGTTTATTTTGATGATACATAAACTTTAGACTATATTATCTATCGAAACAGTTAATAAGTTTTTTTATATCATATGATCTAGATAAAGTATATCAATAAAAGACATAGGATGATGTAAGTTATGAAAAAGAGGGAAACATATATTATAGATATACTAATTTGACTGTCAAATAAATTTGATCAATATAAAAAACTTTGAATAACACAAGTTATTTTCAATATAGCTGCCACTTCAGAAACCATGCAAGATCCTGTCCCTAAACTAAACAGATACTCAATTTTGGATAATGTTATTGCTCAAATTCTAAATGTCAATTAGACTATCTTTGTTAAAACCACAATTCTTAAACAATATATCCTATATTAGTAAACTCAAGGATAAAGAAAAGATGAAGATATTCTAACATTATATCTAAAAGATAAATATTTTGATCTAATCAAATAGGAGAAATAATCACAACACATTTTTATGAAATATCAATAGTCCA